AAAAAAAAAATCACCAAACACCTTCAGGGAACACACCACACAGCGGGTTTGCTAAATTCGTGTGTTCTTCCGTGGTGAGTGCCCTTCAATGACGCGCACACCCTCCTTTGACACCCACGGGCCGGACTCCTCTTTAAGTCGTTTTGCAAATGTGTAGCGTGCCTTCAATGCCGTCATTCGGCGCTGCGCCGGCGTCATCTTTCCCGTCTGTTGTTCTGTTACTTCACCTGAATTGGCTTCAGCTGTTATCGCGGTTGCCTCAAATGGTCGTGGCTTTGCGCCGATGAACCCAGAGGCCAGAAGCTGCTCCCGCAGCGCCGTTCCATCAACGAGGGTGCCCTTGTTCCCCATCTCTGTGTCCCTCTCAGAGGCATGCATCTGATGGTTCAGCCGCTCCAACCACTTGTCGGTAGAGCCGCTAAAAGGCGGCACCACTCCATCACTCGCCCCACTCAACACCGATGTTTGTGATGACGATATTGGCGACGGAAGTATCGTCATTTGATCTGGGCTACCTTCACTCAGTTGTTTCCTCTCTGCATACTCAGTCATTCCCACAGCTTCCTTGAGATACCGCATCTGCGCTGCCTCAACCGTCGCGAACATCACCTCTATACGGTAATCCTTTGACACTCGAGTTGCATACTCAAAGGTGTGGAACGGCTGATGTGTCCGCTTGTACCCCATCTTGTAGTCACCGAGGCACGGCTGCTCTACCACAAAGAGACTCCGTGGGTTTACGTGAACCCGAGGGAACCATGGACTGTCCAAGTGCTGAAGATACATGACCGTAGTGGATACGAGGTTCAATATTCCACAATACGGCCCGATCGTTAGGGGTTTTTTGTGAACGGGGTAGCCAGAGAAGTTTCCAATCATCTCACTCACCTGACAAATATTGGGAGGGCTTGGGATAAGACCAAGATGAAAAAAACGCTCCAGCACACGCTGCAATGTCGGCGCGCGGCTCATGGCAAAGGCCAGTGTGTCTTTTCCAGGTATTCCCAGTTCCTTTTCATAGAGATTGACGCAATAGCGCGTCTCTTCAGCAATATACGCAGCACGACGGTCCTGTAGCAGTTGCATCAACTCATCGCAAATACGTGCCTCCTCCTCCTTTGTAATAATGCCCTGGTAGCCTGTGAACCCCGCCACGAACATCTTACGTAACCCATACGTCGAGCATGGTTGGCCAATACTCTCGTAGTTCGGCTCCAGCAAATCCCCATCAAAAACACTGCTGTACGACCCTTCATCCTGTCGGCGCCGCCGTCGTTTGTCGTCTATCACGCTGTCGCTATCGTCAGTGCCGAGCGGTGCGGCCCCTTCGCCGTCAGCGCCTGAACACACACCACTCCTCCTCTGCTGCTGCTGCCGCGCCATCGTCCAAGAATTGTTGCGCGTTCGTGAATCCAACTCCTCTCGTGCCATCACGTTATTATACAAGGCCGACTCACGTGGAATTGTTGTCCAGCCCGCCTGCCCGTGGTACTCGCTCTCTGGCAGCCCGCCCATGTCGATGTCTTGCTCCCCACCTTCGGTGAACTCCACCACCGACGCGGCGTTGCGCTCCAGCGCCGCCTGCAGCATCGCACGTCGCTCTTCTTTTGACGCACGCGGGGCCTCATAACCATGCTCGTCGATTCCGTCGTAGAAGCCGTAGCGTTTGGGCATGGGCGATAGCCACTCGCCAGGCACGCCGCGGCGACGCATGCTCGCCTCCTCTTCCTCTTTAAACGCCCGGTACTCCTCGCGCTGCGATAATGCGCGGGCAACACCACTAGAAGTTCGGTGCGGAATGGAAGCGAACGAAGTGGACCCGTGTGGTGGGGGCCGTTCCGTATTACTGTTTTCATCGCCGCAGCTGCCGCTCACACAGGGGCCACGACCCTCCTTCATGACAAACTGCCGCTTTCGCCGAGGCGGCACAACTGTACCTGCCACGGCAGCAGGTCCCCACTGCAGGGACAAGATGCGAGTGAGTCGCATCGACTTCTCTCCACCCACTCCAGTCCCTCCTCTCTCTTCCCCTCCTCATTGAAGAAGAATCGATAACGCACACCAACAAATAGATTCAACCAAAAATAAATGAGAGAGAAATGTAACCAAAACAGAACACGTTTCCAAGAATCCCAACAAAAAAATAAAAAAGAAAATCCCAACGATAAACTGGCAGCAACCAATACCAGAAACGGTATCTTGAGTACAGGCGCTACACAGTCGCGCCACCCTCCTCTTTGTTCCGCACACTGAAAAGCCGCACTGTGCTATCATCGTCATCATCATCGTCGGAAGCAGCATCTGTGGGCCAGCACGTCTCCAGCACCATCTTTTCGCCCGTCCTCCTCACAATAGGCGAGAAAGACTTGCGCATCTGCAAACGTCCCTCTGGGCCCATTTCCCGAAGCGCATCCCTCAAGTTTGTCACACGGTGGCGGACACCTGCAGGGTATGCAGAGGCCATCTGCCTCGATGGTAACACCACCCCCAACGAAAACGGGCCGGTTTTCTTACGTGCAGCATTCGCAACAACGACATCCTCCTCTGCCGCCGCTTCCACGCCTGTAGATGTGAAAACTGCGACGTAGTAATTGTCAGTGTGCAGCGAATGCCATCTGGCGTCAGTGAGCAACACGTCGAGAACAACGCTGCCCAACAGGTGCGCCCCCGCGCACGTCCACGAATCGGAATCTCCAGTACCACTATCTTCATCACAGTCAGCGCTCATGGCTGAACATCTCACCCCATCAGTGTCGCATTGGTCAGATTTAACGACGGTTACTGGCATCATGCGCTCATAACACACCAGGTGCCAGTTGTGAAGTGCGCTGCGATTTGCATCACAGCCGCAAGGTGCGCCATTCTGTTGCCGCCACTCTTGCACATTACTTTTCTTCACGCCATTCATCACCAGTAACCCGCACAGACCCGTCAAAAGCCGCGGCGTGACGAACGAGACGGTCGGCCCTGGCCGCGCTCCTACCACACCGTCATTCACGTTGCCCAGGCTGCCTCCTGGGGGAGGGTGCTGAAGCAGTGAAAGCAAACACACCAGCATGAGCTCCACATCCGGGCAGGTGTGCACAAGGACAAAGCACACCCGCTCTAGGAACGAGGGCGGAAGTGAAACAAAGGGTGGCGCACATGTACGGAGACATCTCTGAACAACACACCAATGACGCGCCGTCATGGCGAGAGACGGAACTTCCCTTCCAACACCATCGTCATCCTCTTCTCCACTAATGTTACTTTCACCACCACTGCCATCATCTTCGACACGGTGCTCCCCCGCGGCGTCCTCCACCTCTGCTACCCGGGCAAGGAGCTCCAGGAGAGAAACGTACAAGTGCAATGCAGACGGTGGGTTCCAGCGTAGCTCATCACGAAGCGCCGAGAGGGCACCCCCCTCAGCATCCAATGCACCAGCACCAAGACGGTACATGTGCGGCGAGACAAACACCACACGTCTTTGATCATCTGGGATCGCCAATGCGAGCGTCGCCAGGTGCGAGAGGACCATCTCCAGTAGAGACCCACCGCCACTCTGAACAACGATACGGCGGTGCTGCATCACGACTTGCCACGCCAACGAGCCACTCCCAAAGGAAAACCGCGTTGATGGGGACAACGCTCCTCCATTGTTATTGACATCGTCACCGCCCCATAGCAGACCGACGAGGAGTCGCTCCACTGCGGCCGCCTCCCTCATCTGCTGCAGCAACTCCTGGTGTTCCGACACGAGCGCCTGCATCCCCCGCACACCACTACGAGAAAGAGAGGTGATACAGCAACGGCGAAGATACGAGGCAACGCTTGGATGACAGAAGGGGACGATGTCCTTCTCCAGACACTCCACAAGAGGGAAATGGTGACCCATATCTCCTTCCTCCACCGCCTCTCCCACTTTGACTGTTGCAGTTGTTCGCTCCCCAATGGAGGCGAGGAGCGATACGAGACGCATGAACAGGAAAATAGAGGGTTGCGAAGCCTCTGCAACGATGTCCTCATGATTTCGGCGCCTTCCCGGATCCACAACGTCAAGAGGAGACGCCGGCCTCAGAATTGGCAACGACGTGTGATCGCAAAAAATGTCAAGCGCACTGCGTCGAGCAGCCTCGATCTCGTCGAGGGCGTCTGCAGCGTAGCTGCGCACCTGCTGCGCTGTCACAAAGACAGGAATGCTGAGACGCGATGCGGAAACACTCAATGCACTGCCAAACAACTCCCGCTGTTTTCGGTGCAGCTGCTGTTGGCCACCACCTCCCTCAGGTGCCTCTGATTTGCTGTCGATAGGGTCATTCTTGGTACGGCCTGAAAGACTGCTGTGAGCGGCAACAAAACGAGCTTGCAGGCGCCTGGACACACGAGGCAGATCACCCAGTGCATCAAGAGAGACGGCCTCAAAGTCAACTTCAGTACCATTTTTACTGTTGTTACCGCATATCTCCTTCTGTGAAGAGAGGCACTCAAGTCGCCAGCGGCAGAGTGCCTCCTCTTTACCACAGAAAGACATGCGATGTGTCCCCAAGGAGGACACCGCCGCTTCCTCGAGAGCCGCAAAGGACAGCAGCGTTGTGACAGTGTTCCCCGCGTGGAACACATGTGGAAACTGTCGAATAAGCTGTGTGTGTATCTGCCGCCAGAGAGCGGCTGTGTTGCCAGGGCGACGAACATGTGATGCGTGAAATACACCAGACTCCTCGTAGCAGCGAAGCACCTTCATGAAGAGCAGTTTAGCCCATCCAGGGGCTTCCAAAGCAGTCCCTGTTGGCTGCACATCTTTCATTGCTTTGCAACCGGCGCCAAAAGAGTGTAGCATTTGAGGGCAACACGCCTTACAGATAAAAGCCATGTACTCCTCACGGAGAGTCTGTACCAGACGATCATACCCTGCCCCGCCGCGTTGATGGCGCACAAAGGCCTCCACGTGGCGCTGCAGCACTGCGGATGCGGCTATTGCTCCAATGAGCACTAGCCAATCCTCGTAGTTCTCCCGGAACAAGTGGAAGCGTAACTCCGCATTGGAGGAATGGGACACCGCATCATCCTCATCACTCCCACTACACCCACCACAAACAGTCGTGTATACACCTTGGTACAGCATCTCCTGAAGAACGAACTGATCTGTAACCTCAGGGTCACCCAGTTGCAGCGCCACCGTCAGCACACGGGTGAAGAGCGCAGACGACACCAAGTACTTCTTGTACGGTACCTGTGCCAGTCGTTGCGCGATCACGCTCTGCTGTGCAGCAATGGCATCAGCACTGGCGTTGTCATTCTCTGCCCTAATTGCACGAAGCATAGACGCTGCATCTTCCTCACGGTGGAGTTCCAGCTCAATCGGGAAAAGCTGCGGGTTGTGGCGCCACCAGCGACGAAACAGTTCTACCGCCAGTCGATCCTCGCCCTGGCGCACAAGCGACTCAAATATGAGGTGAAAACCGTACGTGGAGGCCTGCTGCGTTTTGCTCAGTGCCAGTCGCAGTGGCTCCAACGTTGTCTTCGCCGCTCCTCCTGTTACCTCGCCGCCGTCAAGAACATATGTGAGCAACCTCTCTGTTGAAACCGTTAACACATTGTTCTGCAGCAATGCAGCCTCATCGTGAGGATCTCCCGCCTCCAGCGCATCGCTCAGTGGTGTTGCGCCGGCCGCCGTCGCTGCTGTCATGCTAGCAGACGCCTGCTCACATCGTTGCACGGCACGAATAGAGTTCCGCACAAGACGAAAAACTTCCGACGGCGTCACGTGTCGTTTGCGGCGCCTACGACTAGCGTTGTCCTCCACACCTGTATCGCCGCCCTGAAGCGTGAACGTTACGTCATCGCTAGCCTCATCATTGTAACGGTTCATAGCCAGGTTTTTTTGCTTTCCACCTTCTTCCGTTCCCACGTCCTTCTCATTATTCTCAGTGTGGAGTGCAGTGTGCTTGAGGTTTGCGATCAAGTGCCAGGAACGCAGTGCTGCAGCAGAAGGGTTTGGCGCAGCTGCAGCTGCAAAGTCCCACTTCGATGTGGCAGCTCCCTGGTCGTCACCAGCAGTCGCATCCCGACGACGCAGCGCCCGCTGCAGCCGCACAGACCCGGACAAGTTGGCCTCTGCGGTTGATCCCACTGCAGCGAATTGGGCGGGGAAGAGTGCGGCGAAAAATGGCGTTACACGTAGACGCTGCGCCCCACCACCAGTGCTGCACAACGAGCTGACGCCTCGCCGCCCACACGATGATGCTTCTGCTGCTGCTGCTGATGATGAGAGTAGTGGTGCCAGCAGCACCAACCGGCGTCGTCGTCGAGCGCACCGCATTGTATCCCTACAGACACCAGAAGAGAAAAAAAAAATGAGTAAGCGGAGGAAGAGTGAGATCGAGCAAGTGGAAAGAAACGCGCAGCAGCAGGACCTCCACCCCCCAGAGACGCACACGCCACGATCGCATCGATGTAGCGCCGGTGGCGCTGGGGGTGGGTGCTTTCGTTTCCGTTCCGCCGTGATCAGGCACAAGACGTGCATATGTGTGCGACTACAGCAGAGCAGGGAGAGAGAGTTGCTTTCAGACGACTGCGTGGTGGTGCAGGGCCCCCCAGCCGCCGCCGCCGCCCCNCAGGGAGAGAGAGTTGCTTTCAGACGACTGCGTGGTGGTGCAGGGCCCCCCAGCCGCCGCCGCCGCCCCGGCACCGCCACGCAGTCGACACCGCAAACACTCGCGAGCAAGCAGGAACAAAGAAAGAATGAGGAAAGAAAACAAAAACAAAAAAAAAAGAAAAGAAAAAAGAAACCCTAGCAATGACGCACAACACCCTTACGCTGCAGAGGGAGATATATATGAGCAGCAGCAACAACAACAACAAAAAGAAACTGGTGAGACTGGCAATCACCAGAGAAGCTGCAAGCAAGAACACAAAAAAAAAAACACGCCGAAACTCTTCAGACATACTCCTCATCATTTCGCGTTGAAGATAACCAATAACGGCACAGAGGGAATGGCAGAGAAAGGCAGTCCATACGAAGCAGGCAAATACAAGGACACACACACACACACACACACATAAAGGCAACCCAATCAAAGAAAGAGTCTGCCCTAACCCTATCACACATAGCAAGATGGTAACAGCATTAACAGTAGCAGTAACAGGAAGCTAAAATCCTTTGTTTTTGTCTTGTGATATTCTCTACCACTTTCATGGTGAAAGATAGAAGGAAAACGAATCCTACTCACACCCTTTCCGAACCTATTTCATCAACCCTTAGCCTTTTCTCTTTCCCGCCCATGATGCCCTCACCGCCTTCCACGTCACCCGCCCCCCCACCACCCGGGAGGATGAACCGAAAGCAAGAAAAGACGCAAGAGCACCAAAGAAGGATCACATGAAGGACGGGCAAAAATAATGGAGTCAAAATTGAGATAAAAGTAGCACATGAAATATGATGTTGGCACATTTGAAACATCTGCTACCACAATAGAAACGTATTGATCGCATAAGGCCATTTTTTTGTTGTTGTTTTTTCGTCTTCTTATTTTCTCGTTAATGTTGTTGTTGTTTTTGTTTTGTCGCGTTTTTCTTCTTTNTTTTTGTTGTTGTTTTTTCGTCTTCTTATTTTCTCGTTAATGTTGTTGTTGTTTTTGTTTTGTCGCGTTTTTCTTCTTTCCCTTTCCTCAATCGACGCATCTTCCTTTGCATCCGAATCCCTTGAAACCAAGCAAGGGTAGAGTTTGATACGATTCACCCAAATACAACTCTCCGTCATTCCTTTCACCCTCACCCTCGACCCATCTTGCCCTCGCTTAGCTTTTTTTGTCTTCTTTTCGCACTCGCTGATTGGCCGCATCTTCCCCGCTCAGCACCACCACCAACGCCTCGCCTCTGAACACTGGCTGGAGAGCAGACGCACAGCCGAATGCATACATGCACATAAAGACATATATATATATTTATATATATATATGCCAGACACACGGCCAAGCATCCTCAATCAGTCGCCCAAGTATACATATGTACAATATATCTTGTGTTGATGTGAAGATGGGCATTGGCTGAAAGAACCAGGGATTCTTCCATTCCCATACCTTTCGTTTATCAACGCGCAGATGTACAAAGTGGACTTTTTCCCCGCAGGCACACATGGACACACAACATACTCAAACTCAAAGACACGAACTCTCTCCCTCGGCGAGGGCATCACATCGCACCTCCCCGAGAAGATTTGGTCCTCTCACTCACACACACACACAGACACACCCACACACGCACGCAAAGAGGCGGACAAAAAGACATACTAAAGAAAAAAAGGCGGAGACTAGTCGTCTGCCTTCTTCAGCACCGCAGCCGAAGCGCATCCATAATGATACTCGCTACATTTAACACCTGTTAAGGCAAGGCCCAGAAGGGCACTTACACCCTCATGGGCCACCTTTTCCTCCAGTTTTATGGCGCCCAGTCAAGCATAGCGGTTTCCACCACATATAGCACGTGCCATGTCGGCAAACAAACGGTGACCACGCGGTTTTGCCATGATGGCTAGACGCATCTGGGCAGTGTTTGATGCTGCCTGTGGCGTCCTTCCCCCTCCAGTCACCTGTGTTGACGACGCCGGTCTTGCAGCCGTTGTGGTTTGCGTCCCGGATGCCACACCTCCTCCTTCACCACCACCACCACCAACACCAACACCACCGACAGTGGCCGCCTTGGTGCCTGGGCCGACGTTAATACACTTCATTGCCTGCTTCCATGCAGAGGGTTTTACATAGCGTGTTCCTGGTGAAATAAATGGGTTGCGGGTGAGAAAATGAATCGCAGAGGCCTCCAGCTCGAGTTCCGCCAGCGAGGGCTCACCGCTGAGAGTTGATAGCGAATGCGGGGCATCATCCTTTGTTCTCGTGAAGGAGCTGTGTAGCGACGTCCCCCGGGGTGTCACAGCGAGTACAGGCAGATCTGGCTCGGGACTCTCGCCGCCGTCCTGCACCATGCGATGTCGCCTCTGCTCCACTTGACGAATATATCGGTGCACCAGGAAAGTGTTGACATTTCCAAGCCACTCTTGCAGAATGGCACGCACGATCAGAAGCTGTCGGTCGGCACGGTTTCTTACGAAGTCGTTCACAAGTATGGCATTGCGTCGGTTCAGCGCGACACAGCTTGGGGCATTCTCTACAATAATATTGCGATCAAGATGGCGACCGATACGGCGCAGGTCTTTTGTGTAGCCACCTTCACGATACCAGCGAACATCACGGTAGATGACGTCATCAATGATAGTGTTCTCTGGGTCCAAGCGAGCGATAACAGGACGAGCAACCACCTCCATGCTAGCTGTCCATATGATTATCTCAAGCCGCAACATGACACCATCAACGGGATGAAACGGTGGTGGTGGTGTTGCAGCCGTTGTGTTGTTTGTATTCACATTGTTGTTGTTTTTGTTGGTAGTGGTAGTGGCGGTGTTTGGCACTCCCTGCGGAACTTTAGCCGTGTCAGATGACTGAAACGGTGTGTCGCGTGCACGAAGCACCGGTCGGGGGTACATGGCCCTAAGCTGCTTCAGCATTTCAACAGCCCCAGGGCGCAATATCGCCGGGCCATGGGCACGGTTGTTGCAGAGCGTCTCGTCAAGGTCAAACACAACTGTTGCAGTTCGCTCTTTCTCCATGGGCGAGGCCAAACTACGAGTGAGAAGCTGCCGAGTTGGGTATAACATATCGTTTGGGCGCAACCCATCGAGAGCCTCTTCGAGTGAGGTGTGTGCGCTGCGCCCAAGAGAAGAGCCGTTGCTCGAGCAGGTCGTGCATGCGGTCACTGAAAATTGGCTGACGGAAGGTGCAGAGGGCGCACGCGACGTAGTGCAGGCGAGCCTGGCAGACGCGTTGCCCACCTGCAGAGGGTGTTCCCTGCGGCACTCCTGTGGGATTGTTGGCGGTGGCATGACGGAGTACCGCTGCGGCTTAGGCTCCCACTGCGGGAGCAGAGTCGTATCCAAAGTTTCCTTCTTGGCAGCCTCGATGCTACCAGCGTTATTGCTGATGATTTTTCTGCCTGTGCATTCCACCATGGAGTCTTCACATTTGGGGACCGACCGAGATGTCGATACGAGAGACGCATTCGTGTTACGGAGGGTCCTGGCCGTCTGCATATCCGCGATGGTGTGTGAGACAATGTGCATCAAGACCGGCGCGGTGTTGGTCTCAGACGACTGCCGCAGTGACGACGCATCGGGCACAGCGTCGTCTGTCGCCGCCACCACCACCTCCTCCTCCTCCTCCGCAGCCTTTTTGGTCCGTGTTTTTTTGCCTTTACCCGCTCCAGACTTCGTCTTTGCCGCCTTCGCTTTTCCCTTCTTTGATACTACACGAGACGCGGTTGACCTCTTGCGCTCATCGCCACCGTTGTGATTGGTCGCCGACGCCTTGTTTTTCTTACTACAACCAGTCTTTTTGCGCGTCCTCTGCAAAGGACCCTTTGCGCAGGACTCATCGGCACATATTTTCACCTGTTCATCCTCGGTCACATTGCTTGTTGAAACGGTGGGCGCGCACATAAGGAGAAACATGCCCTCACCGTCAGGCAACTCCTGCGCGGATGACGGCATCTCGCCCTCACGGCGCAGCAGGGCGGCAGCGGCGGAATTCTCCGGCGCCTCTTGTCGACCCTTCGCCGCTGCCGCCGCCCGGCCGCGTGCCTCTCTGCCCCGCATCGGCACCCCCACCAGCAGGCCGCTGCAGAAGTCGGTTCAGCAGGTGTGTGGGCGTAAAGGCGCACAGTGTTGCTCCTGTGCGCTCGTACGGCTCCTATGCACAGGCCTAGCCCTTGTCTCTTTTCTTCCTTCTATCCCCTCCCTCCCCCCTTCTGCTTCTCACTCTCCCTTTTGCGTTCGTGTTCACGTAGAAAGACGGGATTGCTGCAAGGCTTGATCTCCGCCCTCTCCTTGTTTCTCAAAGTGGTCCTGCCCGCGTCCCTTCACACACACGCACACACACAGACGCGGGGTGCGGTTGTGAAGTGCACTCACACTCAATAAAACCTAGAGCCCCATTGCGCGTTGTGTAGGAGGCGAAGCAGCAGCAGCAGAAACAACGAGAAGCACAAACAAGGGAAAAAAGGGGACCGAGGAGTTTATTGAGAGCGAAGGAGCCACACACAACACAAGAGTACAGAGTTGCACGCCTCTTTCCCCACGCATGTCCATTCTCAGCATTCCAAGTCGCGCAACACTTTTTTTTTTCATTTTCTCTTTCATTTTCTCCCTCACTTTTCCCCATTCCTTTCTTTCGGCTCTTTCTCTTTGTCTCTCTCTCTCTCTCTGTCTGTCTCGTTGTCCATTCTTTTCGATCCATCCCCATGATTCCTCTTCTCTACTACTTTTCTTCTTTGCTCGGTTTCCTGTTTGCTCTCTAACTCTCGCCCTCTCCCGCTCATTCCTACATCAGCATTCTCGTCACGCGCGACGTTTTATCTCCACGTTTTACCGATTCCCTTCGCCCGCTTGCGGCTACACGGACTCACTACACAGTGAAAGCGGGGCGGGGGCAGCGGCAGCAGCACCAACCCCGGGGGTCAGCAGCAGAGGCGGCGCCGACGACGCGAAGGAAGCACTGCGGTCACACACAGGCGGAAGGAGAGACACAGACGGGGGGGGATCAGACAAGAGGCTCCGTCTCCCCCAAAAGGCCCCACCACCGCACGCACACACGCGTAGAGAAAGATAAAAATAAAGAGCCGCACTCCCCGCCACCTCCACCACAGGAGAGACCCGTGCATCCCCGCCGACAGCACACACGCGGGCAGAGGGGCGGACACACACACACACAGAGAAAGAGAGAGAGAGGCGCACACACACACACACATATGACCACGACGGAATTTCTCGTAGAAAAAAAAGGGAAAACGCCAAGTGATGGAGAAGGGAAAACAATAAAAACACACATACGCACCGAAAACAACAACGAAACAAAAAAACAAGCGAACAAAGCCACACGGCGGAGGGCAGCAGGGATGTTTGGCGGTGGTAGGCTCTCTCATCGCTGCGCAGCACGAAGACGCTTCGGGCACGCACAGTAAGTAGAACGCGGCGAGGACGGTGGCGGTGCCCGGCGCCAAGCGCCGCACCCGTTCTCTCCCCAGCACGCGTCGCGCACAGATGATGGAAGCGCACACCACCGCCCCACTCCCGCTACGTGTCACGCTTGTGAACCCCTCTTTCCTTGCCCTATTCCCCGTCCCATGTTTCTTTTTTTTTTTTTTTGGTTTGATTTTTTTTTTCTCTTTCTCTTTTGTTGCTGTTGTGCGACTTCTCCTCACACCCTCCATTTCGTTGGTGTCGGCGTTTGCCTCTCAAGTCGCACACTGTCCACATCCTCGTTTTGCGTTCGCCAGCGTGGCGAAACAGGACGCGGCTCAACAAACAAACAAGCAAACAAACAAAAAAGAAAACGACAGATGCAGAAGCATATCAAACAGGCGGCGAGTGCGTCGGCAGACGATGGCAACGAGCAAAGATGTCGTCCCTGTCGTCCTCGAAGTCATCCTCAAAGCCGTCGTGATCATCCTCCTCGTCACTCTCATAATATTCATAGTTTCCGGCGTCCCGCCGCACATGTTCTGGCACGGCGCCACCCTCATTGTTGTCCATCTGTAAGACGTTAAGGGGCGTGCTGCGTACAAACGAACGCGTCGCCCCAAGCACCTCCCGCACCTGTAGCACCACCTGCTTCCATCGCCCGCCGTTTCCGTTAGCGTGCTGCTCAGCTGCCACCCCTTTCCTCGAGTGCAAAGGGGCGCGGAAATCCCCCGAATCGGCAGCTGCCATCTCTGCCTTTGGCTGCAGAAGACAAGAAGTTGCCTGCGCCGCCCTTGCAGCAACTGCCTCGCCGCTGTTTTTTTTTTGGACGTGGCTGCTTTTGCTGGTGTTCACGTTCTTGTGATTATGGTGGTGTCCATAGAGCTCTGATCCAGGCGGGGGTGGCGCAGCCGCGAGTGCGTTGGGTGGAGACAGCGGAGTGTGCACACGGTGTGGTGGCGATTTTTGAACCTCTGCTTCCTCGTCCTCCTCCACCATGCCATCAAAGTCCCTTCCGCGGTTCTTACCATTGTACATGCGCTTCAATGGGGTATTCTCGTCTTGTTTTGCCTTCCGAGAGTGTGTGCTGTCATTGCAGCCCTTCCCTATGCGGTATGACTTCTCAAAGAACTTTACAGGTGATGCGAGTTGCTGCTCCGGTGGTGTCAGCGGTGGTGGACCCGCGGCATCAACGGAGAACGACATCAGACGCAGGCTCAGCGGCGTCAGAGGCTCCTGTGGCGCATGTACAACAGAGAACAACCGCTCTGCCTTGCGTGGGGCCAGCGGGATGTGCAACGGCGACGGCAAAAACAGGTTTGGTGTCTCACATCCAGGAAGAGGCGAAAGTGGAATATGTAACTGCGATCCTGGTCGTGGTGGCTTGTCAACCGTGTCTAGCGCAAATGACATGGATAGTCGTTGAGAAAAGCGTGGGGCCTTTGAAACTGCTGGGGAGAAGTGCGCATTAATCTTTGGCGTCATATTGGCCGGCGTGAGGGACAGGGGCGTTGATGGCCAATTACCTGAAGGGATATGCGTAGCCGAACGAATAAACATGTCATCACCCGCAAATGATGACAATGGTGTCGTGGCGTTGGACGGAGTACAGCTTGATTTTCCGAAAATAAACGTTCGCAGCGGTGTGGCCATGTCACGTCGCCTCGCAATAGAATCCATCCACTCCGCCCACGCCTCCACCTCCTCCTCCTTAACCAATAGATCAAAGTCGGCAAGAAACAAAAAATCCAACTCGAGCTTATTCATCTCCTTCAACGTGAGACCAGCAGCAGTGGCTATTTTTTCATTATACCGTCTTGGGCCGTCGACGTACATCTTCGTTGCAATCAAAATAGCCACCGTGATGAGACGGTACCAATTGGCAGTTGTCACGCTAGAGTACTCCGACGTGGACTGCATTGTGATACGTGATATATAGACCAAGGCCCCAATTAGCACCATTGGAGCGGCATCACCGTAGGAAATGTGCAGCCCAATGGACTCGATGAGTTGCTGAACCATTGCAGAGGTTGCTCCTAGCTCTGGCGTATCCTCTGATAGGAACGTGAATAAGCCGCTTCCAGCAGTAACTCCTGTGGGAAGTCCTTCGCCTTCGCGACGACCATCTCCACGTCGCAAAATATCCATTGCGTTGGGTGAGCACGATGAGTCCCCTGATTCGCCATGCTGCTGTGGAGTTGCCTCCCCTTCGCGAGCTCGCACATGTGCAGCAAATGGCAAGTGTAATGGAGACGTTTGGAACTGCTTGGTAACAGGTTGGGGTTGCATGTCAAACGAGTGTGTGCTAACAGAATGTTCTAATTTTTGCTGCGTTTGAACACTACACGACTTCTGACGATTGGTCATCCAAGGTGCTGGCTCCGATGCATTTGCCACACGTCGCTCGCATTCAATAATCAGCTGTTGTATCGCATAATCATAGAAAGGAGCAATGTTTGATAACAAGAATGCAGTAGAGCCGTTCTCCCCTGCGTTTATGCTGCCAAACTCAGAACCCGCTGTACTATGCGCTATCATCGCCTCCCCTCCATCCCCTGGTGTCAACGCATCTTGAGTGGTGGAGAGAGCAGATTTTGAGCGTGGTAAAGGAACTTGGAACCCTGGGCGTTGCTCTTGTTCATTGACGCTTCCAACACGTATAGGTGGCTTGCGGCACTTGAGCGAAGGGGAAAGTGTGACTTGCTTCGGAGAAGGTGCTCGTGTGAAGGTCCGGCTGCGAATCGCTTCCACTGCAGCAGCACCAAATCCACGTCGTCGGTGGGAACGTCGGGAAGCCCCAACAACGACATGATGATGATGATGATGATGATGGCTGTGGTGGTGCTGTTGATAATGAGAAGCAGAGGCCCCTCCACGATGTTGCGGCGGGTTGCCACAAAGCGCTGCAAGGCAAGGCGATCCACGACTGAAATGAGAAGAACCAACATTGTTGTTCCCAGTACTACATGTAGTTGTAGTCGTAGTGGTAGTAGTAGCATTTCCGACATCTTGGTGGTGGTGGTGGTGGTGATGGCGGCACCGCTCGCTCCGCGAGAAATTGTTCGGGGCGTGGAAGTGATTCACGGGGCGCGCATCGTCAGCAGCAGCAGCAGCAGCCGCGTGCGACGTTCTCGATTTCCCCAGAGTTGCGTCCTCCACGCCCAGATGCTCTGCAGTGCCGCCACTGCTATCACAGTTGCTGCCGTTCCACATGCGAGCTCCACGCTCTGAGAAAGTGCCGTTGACACTAAGCGATTGGTGGCTGCTGCCGCCTCCCGCCCCACCACAGCCACAGGCTGACCTGGACGGCAGCCGATGGCTACTGTGGAGATTGCCGTTGGATGACGCCCACTCATGTGAGGTGCTGCTCAGTGACACCGCGGCAGTGTAGGCATCCTCGTCGGCGGTCGAAGTGGCTCGCATGGACACGAGTAGCGAGCGGCGAGCCGTGTCGCGGCTCCCGTACGAGCTAGTGCCCGCCGTTTCCGTCGCCACACCCGTGGTGTGCGCCTGGTGCTCGGAGTAACCGGGCGAATTGCGTGGTGATGAAGAACGTACATCGACGGCGGTTGAATTTTGGTCCATTGAAACCTCCGCAGTCAATCTTGTGAGTATTCTTCACCCCACTGCTTTGGATGCTGCTGCTAGTGGCGATGGGATTCACACCCAGGCGTGCTGTGTGCGATAAACACCGACAAGACACCACCAGTATTGTACGAAACGGCCCCCTCTGGGTTGCGCACTGCTCTCCTAAACAACGAAACGAAAAAAGACCACCTGCAGCGTCACCCCGTCTCACCCCTCGCCAAATGTATTCCACAGAATGGAATGTGCTCCCAAACGAAGGCGGTAAGAGTCAGCGACGACTCGGCTAGATACTCCGTGAGCAGAAGAAAGGTAACGAATAATTTAAAAAAAAAA